TATTCGTCAGAGTCTGTGTGGGCAGATCGGACTGGTGATAGCTAAGGTGTATTAAGTTATAATACCATGGCGAGCGTCGGTGAGGGTCGGCTCTCTACGTGTACCTGAATCGACGTAGAAGCACTCCTTCCACGGTGCTGCTCACACAGCGGGAGGCAGTTCGGAAGTCGTAGGTGGAGCAGAAGACTATCAGTGTAGCTCAATCCAGGACGAGCAAAAGCTCCCTTCGGGCCGATAGGTGCCCGGATGAACGGCCGCCGGAGAGAGGGGTCGTCAGATCGCGGCAGGACAGGCTACGACAGCGTAATCCCGACCCGTCCGCGTCTCCTGCTAATTTGCACATTATTAGCAAGGGTCGACAGCTACAAGCATTAAATGCATTATTGAAGACGCCTCCAACACGCCGCACGGAAAAACGGCAGCAGACGTAAACAATGAGTTGGCGTTCCTTCGAGTCTTCGGAAATCTCCTCAGCGATCGGCTTGAAAGAAAACGCGGATGAAGACGTGAACGTCAAGCGAGAGATTTAAGAGCGTGAAAAGACGAGCACTGCGGCGATGATGAGAACGTCGGTGACGAGTAACAAAAGGAAGACGAAGGAAGGCTGCCGCCGCCGCCGCCGCGATGACAGCGAGTAGCAGGAAACGACTTTGCTCAAAAGACTGAGTACTACCAGCAGCACGAAGGAACCTGAATACGGGATCCATGCGAGCAGCTGTCGGGAATCCCTTCGATACGGCAAGGATCGGCCGTCAGCGTCCTCACGAACACGAACGAGCGGGGAAAACAAGAGGAGCTATGGCAAGCCATTCGGCTCCCACACAGTCAGAGAGAACACTGGTCCGAAGAAACGCTCCAATGACTTCGGCATCAACATTTACAGCGTTCCGCGTCTCTCGGATACGCGGGAGGGTTGGCCCTGGTCCTGTTTGCCCAGCCCCAGCCGTCTGTCTCACAAAGTGACTCACTGACTTGTAAAAGACGGATTGATTGAGTGACGGAGTGACTGAAGTTTTTCCATCGGTGTTCGATTCCTTGTTTTCAACTGTGTGTTTCTTCCGGCCCCTCGACGAGTCTTGGCCCTCCGGTCTACGATGGCAATCTATTCAGTCAGTCGCTCGGTGCCCCAAGCGTTCAGTCGCTGTTCTTTCTAGCTCTGTACGCGCTGGTAGGCAACGCTCCGTATTTAGCATCTGAGATGAAGAGCTCGTGCCGAGACCTGTTGACATGTTGAATGGATGACAAGAGGATGTTATTCATGGAGATGAGGTCTCTAATAGGGGTTCGGTTCTCAGATTCGGCATCCACTCACGTTTCGCGCTTCTCTGTAGAGTTTTCAGCCGTGGAAGCGGCGAAAACAACGACAGCCTGAAAGGTGGATATAGGTTTTCATGGAATGTTCCGGACACCGATATTGGTCGGTCTGCGCTGCCATACACTTCCAGTATGAATTATCACCTCAGGCAGACAGGAAACACTCCCTGGGAGGGGCGCGGCACGCAAAGCAGTATGTCACCACCGTGTTGCCTGCCTTATCGTAGCTCAATGTTGGGCGAGATTTCAGAAAGGGAATACCATTCCGGAAGACCTGCCGTGCAGCAGCGCCAGGCGCTCCAACGAGCCCCGGAGACGCCTTGGAGCCTGAGAACGACGCATGTGACCATCGATGCGAATGGGGCGCCGCGCCAAATCGATAGTACCAGTGAGAATTACGAGAGACCGTACTCACTGAGATGAGTAGCCTCTAATACGCGATCTAAAGTTCTCGAGACGAGCTTTGGGACAATTTTTTTATACTAGAGATTCATTTCGCGGAACTGTCGTCTCGCCATCCCCCTCCTAACTGAGTGGAGCCCATGTGGCATTCGGAATGGCAGAGAATCGGAGAGGAGACGAGTGAGCTCAATCGATCTCCGTTGCGCTTCCGGAAAGTTTTGCTCGTCGGATTTAGCATAAGGAATCTCAGAAAAGGTGTCCCATGTGCATCTCCCTCAATCCGCGAAGAGTTTTTGTCCGGGTCGAGAGAAAACCCTGTTAAGCCTCGAAGACAATGTGGAGAATCCGTCGGTGCGAAGGGGAGGGCCATAATTGGATTCCGCTCAGTTCATTCTCTTCCATGCGTACTTTTCTATCTAATTGCTCCAGTCTCTGCCGATGTCTCCGACTTCCCAATACTTTCGCTCGTTTCGAAACGTTGATTGGGCCCTCCCTACTAGTGGGAGCTCTCGCAGGCTCACCCGATGCTTCCCATCAGCATACTGATTCGGACTGATAGCCCACAGAGTATCCGAGATGGCCGATCGGTTGACGTGCGGAATCCCTGTGTAAACGTGCGCGCAGCTAGGATCGATAGATAGGCTCTTGCAAATCTATCTCTGAGCAGATGGGTTCCCCTCACTTCCCTCTCGCGATCTTGACGCATAGGTGCTAAACATTATCGTGCTCGACGATAGAATTCGGTTCCCCTCCGTGCGGACCTCTATCCTGAGAACGGACCTTCCTGTCGCTGGGTAGACGGAATCCTCGAGGATCGTTTTATCTTGTTTCGAAGTCGTGCGAGTTCTAGTGTTGTGCTCTAATGAATACACTGTTTCCTGACAGGCGTCGAAAAATCGCCCGATAATTCCCCGCGGGCTTGGTCAAGATTTCCAGGTTTGACGCAGGCCCGGTTCAGCTCTTCCGTTTGCATTCGACCACGCCCTCATCCAGACGCATGGACCTGCACACTTCGAATTCGAAGGGAAGACAGATGAAAAAACCTGAGAGAGTAAGAGGTTACAAATGGACGAGAAAACGCGGTGTCAAATGTGGTTTATGACGATCACCTCTGCCTCAACGAGATTCCGTGCACCGATGCGCAGCGCCGTATGCAACCGAGCGCTGATTAGCAATGAAAACATGACGTAGATTGCAACAGATAGGGTTTATTCGTTTGATGATTTACTCTCCTTTTCTCCTCCTCGTATCGATTACAGGTTCCATTTCATCAAATTGTATGCTTTAACAACATGTCGATTATCGGCTATACATCATGTCTTCGCGTGTCAATCACGCATTAATCGTCTCAATACTTGTGTTTATTTCCGCATTCTCGTGTCAACTAACTCGCTCGACTAGCAGAAACTCGCTCAATCGCTCCAGGGTCGGGAGCGAGGTCTTTTTGGATATACACATCGATTTCGGAGTTTCGGGTTTCTGCCATTCAGTAACAAGAATCCATTCACCCGTGCAAGCACGTGCTCAGTTCTCTCGAATTTGAATTTTACATCAAGTTCGACAATCCATTCTCTGCGTGGGGCCCGCTGGTACCACCCTTCGCGAGGATTTATCCGTAGAGAGCTAGAGAAGATCATAAATGGTTTGGCCGCTTAACCCGAGGCCAGCGTTTCCAGTCATCCATACGGTCTGGCATTCCTCCACGCAGTCTCCCATTCGTTCACGATACATACGAAAGAGCAGCTAAAGATGAACTTTGCTCGGTGACCAATTAAAACAGGAGGCGCGATCCTTCGTAGGCGTTGTCGTCACTTGGATCACCGTATTATTCGATCGCTCAAACAGTCATCCAGACATGACATCATTTTCAGATCAATCATCGCCGAACGATTTCGATCAAAGTCACACCCGACTATTTGCCTTCCCGTCATTACTACACACGATGAACAAGCCTCCAATTCCGACCACGCTCAATAGCGCCCGAGGAAAAGCGAGGACGGATTTCCTGGTCGGTTGACGGATCGCAGTCACATTCGACGCAGGAGAAGTGAGGACAAGGTGGGGAGCAGGTCTAAGAAGCAAGTCGAAAACGTGATTGTATCATTATCCATAGCCGTTGAACGCTGTCAGATGCGTCATCGTCCTCGCTGCCATCGACGCCCATGTCGACGGCTGCACAAAATGCCGGAGGCTGTACAGAGTATACAGAATTCGATACCTCATGATAGGTTTGACATCCCCTCAGCCGCGGTCGTCAGTCAGGGAGTCACAAAGGCAGAAAGTGTGTCGGGCACACATCAGACGGTCGAAGTAGTAGCCTAGTTGACGAGGATCATTACGCATGGTCTCCCAACTACTCTCGAACAAATCCGAACGATGACGTCGACGAAAAAAGGTGCTATCGAAGAGCCTCGGGGATGCGTAACTTCTTTCTTGGGCGCAAGTTCATTCTTCAGAAGCGATTCCCGCCACCCTCCCCCCACCTCCTCGAGCTTAGCCCGATTGACATCCATCAACAGGTCGAAGACTGCCTCCCTTATATTTATGTACACAATAGTCTCGCGGGAGCACTCAGCAACGTAGAGAATCCATAAAACGCAAATATGATGAACGGTATCGAAAGCCAAGTCCAGTTCCTCATGGAGGACTCATTCTCGAATTCCTCGACTACAGCACTGCGAGAGTTATGTCCCAAGTAAATTGCGATAAATGCGAAAACTAATCCTCCTAGGCTAATGCTTACGTGAACTGGGTTACGATTAACGATCAAAACAGTCTAAGCGGATCCGACGGTATCCTACACGGGAGTCGTCTGTATCTGCATTCCGCCATGAATTTTCTTGTGAATATGTATTGATTGCTTTTTTCCGTAACAACAGAGGAGATAGTGATGCGATCTCGTGTACCATCGCAATCGATCACTGGGTAGGAGAATACGACGATTGGCAATCGTCTCCTCCGATATCAGATTTGAAGCGATTCCGGTCTCGTTTCAGACGTACTCACGCGACGCTTTTCTCCGCTCTTGTTATTTCGCAGAGGATCGAGATCGGAGAAACGATATTCCCGCCCTGTTTCCGCTCGCGCAGAGCTCTTTTGAAGAGGAACGTCAGTTCCGGGAAGAGACACGATTTTCGTTTCGTTTTTCCGAGTCGATTTGACGAGCTCACGGCACGCGTATTTACGGCTTCCGTCTCCACGGAGTTACGACTGCGGGAGGAACCCCATCATGTGGCGCGATTTATGTCGGTTGAATCAGAGTCGAAACGGAAGTCGTCAGTACGCTAGATCGCCGAGACCTGACAGGTTTCGACGAGGGGCGATTTGACCGCGGCGCCTTCCTGTAGGGTTGTAGTCGGTAGGAGCAAGCTGCAGTTGGCCGGCACGTAATTGCAGGAATTGTTGTTCTGCTGAGAATTTCGGTTTGGCGCTTCCGGCCGGTCACGTCGCGAGCAAGAGGAGAACACGAGCAAGTGTGTTGTGATGATCTTCCGGAAAGCGTCCCGGAATTCAGTATTGAAAATGCTGTATATGATGGGGTTTAGGGCCGAATTGAAGTAACCCAGCCAGGTGAGCACTTTGAACACGACGTCGGGGATGCACCCCCTGCAGAACGGCGCCGCTATATTCACGGCAAAAAATGGCACCCAGCAGAACAGGAACACACCGACGATGATCCCCAAGGTGACTGCGGCTTTATGATCGTGGGCCTGATGTTGCACAGGACCGCCGTTGAGCGGCTTATTCAAGGCTCGAATGCTTTTAACGTGCTTGCGTGCGTAAAAGTACAGCCGGCAGTAGAGGGCGATCATCACCATGCAGGGAATATAGAACGAGATAGACGACGACAAAACAGCGTATTCTTTCGTGAGATCAAGTGCGCATTCAGGCAGATGAACTCCAATGTTCGGCGGACCGCTGCTGCTGGCGCCGAAACCGCTCTCCTGCGTGACGAATGTTAGTTCGCTTGAATTGAATAGCGTCGAGTTCGCTTCGAGGATGAGCCGCTCTGGCGGGTCTGAACCGATTTCCACGTGACCTTCGGTATGAACTACGACCACATCTTCGAGTCCTTCTGATTGATGATGCCATCCTAACGAGATCGGAACAAATGAAACTAGACCCGACAACATCCACATCGCCGCGATGACCGCAAGCACGACTCTTTTGCTCATCCATCTGAAAGACAAAAGAACAGCGTCTCAGAGAGTGGGATGGAACGATTCTCCAACACAGAATCGAATAAGGAACTCTCAAAGGAAACGGGCCGGTCCTCGAATTCCGGAGAACCCGATCGGAGAATATCGCATTATCCAAGCAGTGAGGCTCCCGAAGCCGGTCTGGAACATAATCATGACGTCCTGGCCACGTCCTCTCCATGAGATCTAAATTGCGCTGACCTGTCATGCGCTGTATTTTGCTATTCCCAAGCATCTCTCATGTTTCCCTTCTGTCGCGATTTTTTCCCGCCGATCGAGGCTGAGAAGTCACTTCAGAGCACCGACCTGTGGGCAGTGCTTTCAAGATATCGCGCTTTAATCGGACAGACTTGATGAGAATCTTAATGACTACCGCTCCCGGAAAATCGGAAATCGCCGGTCGTGTTCAGATTCATTCTTCTCCCCGAAAACAAAAGCTAGTGCCTATCCAGGCGTGAAGCCGTTGGACAAGACTATCGAGAAGAGAACGACGAGCTCCAATGGCGGACCGATGGTTTCATTTTCTTCGTGGCGAAAGAACCATCTTCGACGGAGGTTCCCGAGCGTACACATGCTGCGATCCGTGATACACGTACATGTTCGAATATCTTCCGCGACGGGCTTCAGCACACCCCAAAAAGCTCTTGCGGTGACGCTCACGGCGGCTTCATTATATACATATATAGGGGGTTATATCGCGGTATTGTTTTTCCCCAGGTCAAGGGTTTGACGTACCAAGCCAGCGACGATCACGTTGCTTCGGAGGATTTACCCTCACCGAACACGAAGTCGGGCGGATCAAGGCCGCAGCAAGGTGAGCTCGCCGACAGCGTGCCTCGATCCCCCCGACGAAAATCCTCCGTGGCAAGTCTCGAGAAAACCGCACCCAAAACGCTGTCTGCCGTCCTGCCGAGAGGCGTCTTCTCACGGAGTGAACTCCACCGAAAAAACAGCGTCCCATAAAGTCATCGGAGAGGGATGCACGTTTGCGAGGAGAGATCTGGATGCGCTTCTCCCTTGGCCCCGGGTCGGTCGCGGCATGCTCGGATTACGAATCAGACAAGAATCGCGCGCAAGAGGGAGAATAGAGATCGCTGGGGTCCCAGAGCTGCGTGCTGGCTGATGACAGGTGGAACAGGAATGCAGACGGGAGTGACTGATGTGCAAAGAACCGAAAGACCGGCTGGCTACAGCCTTGGTGAATGCGACAAGGCCTCCGCCGATTCGGTCCTCCGAGACGCTCTTCATTATGTTTGCGAACTTGGCCTAATTGTGCCGCGGAGACTCCGTTCTTTCGTAGTCACATACGTACATATTAGCGAGCAGCGTTGCCAAGGAGCAAAAATCTATACGAATTTTTCCCCCGTCAGGGTACTCTCTCTTCATTCGCGAGTCTTGGCCTATTTCCACACGAACATCTCTTGCTGTAAACGTTGTGTTCTGCCCGCTCGTTTCCACGGAAGCGTTGGAGCAATTTAGAATCGATGTCATTCCTCGCTTCTCGCTCCCGCTCACGGCACGAAGGGAAGCCGACCAATCGGCCGCCACGCCGTCGGTCACCGGTGCCGACACAGAACTGATGATTATAAATTATCAGCGAGATCGATCATCGAGAATTTCGTTCATTCTGGCTGCTGCCAGAGCTTGTTAAAATTGAATCTGCCAGTGACGAGGTCTGACACTGATAGTCTGAGGTTCCCTCCAGCCTTCTCTGGAGTGCGTCCCTCACCTGCAGTAGCGTAGTGGATCCTTGATGTGGATGAAACGGTCGAGACTGATGGCACACAAGTTGAGGATGGACGCCGTCGAACACATGACATCCATTGCAATGAAGGTATCGCAAAACTGCGGGCCGAACGCCCAATATCCCATGAGGTCGTTGGCGAGTGCGAAAGGCATCACGATTCCGGACACGAGGAGGTCCGCCACCGCCAAGGATACAATAAACAAGTTCCCGAGTTTGCGAAGACGTCGGTCGGCGCATATAGCCCAGCAAACGAGGACGTTACCTGAAAGAGAACAGGGGTATCGATCAGAAGTCCTGTCATAGCGGAATTCTCACCGGCTTGGAAATCATTTATTGATGAGTCCGTGGAGTGGAGGAAATCCCGATTTTATATAATCTATACATATATCTCTCACCGGGAGCCGACTGCAGGAGTGCGGCTGGCCGTTGGGAGGTGGTGGCTCAGGGCTCAAAGGATTACTTAGCGATAAACACATGTGTTAGTGAGATTGGTGTATGTGTCCCAGAGGTCGTCAGGGTTCAAGCCGTTTCCGCGAGACTGAAACGGCCGGGAGAGTCGTTCCTCCCGGCACCTAAGTACTCTGTCCCCCCGCGCTGAGAATATCACTTCCGGATACGTCGGACTGATCCAGCTTTTCCTTCCGTCCGTCCGTTCGGTATGGTCTCGGCGAATCGCGTCTAGACCCTGGCCGCAGAAAATTCCCGAGTGGAATATTTTCAGCAAGGAGTCGAATCTGAGTTTCCACATGTATTTTATCTGTTCCAATCGCGGAATTATTTGGAGAGACCCCTGGCACATACATGTTCGTGGTGATCCGTAACCAACCTCACGGAATTCAATAGATGGGCTTAGATATCCCCAGCCCATCTATCGATGAGCTGGTCTGGGCTCCCCCCATCGTCAACAATATTCTCCTTCCGGTATCTAGAGAATGGGGGTCCGAGTGAGGGGCCCGAGTTGCCCGACGCGGCGACAATTTTCCGCGACGGCTCACATATTGAAACAGAACCGCGGAGCTCGTGTACCGCACCTCGCAAGTGTAGAACACTCAAGTCGAGTCATACTAAGCTCCGAGACAGACTTGTACATATTATAGCCGCCGTAGGACTTTATTTATGTGATAGCCGGAGCGGTCGCTGTGGGTCACAACATACGGGAGTTGAACGTCGATCCCCGCGGAGGGTCGGATACGATGGATAGAATTTCACGGTCGTCGTAATATCGGCACATGTCTCGCAGATGTACCTGGAGCTCCGGGTAATCTCGCTCCCGGATAAACGAGGCGATGGCACTCCTTCTAAGGAGATAAGAAACGGAAAAAGCAAGATTGGTGTCGAGCCTGAATAGATGTCGGCTCCCTGGAATCATTCACACAGCAGTCATCTGCATCCCACGCATTGCTCTGCTCTCCAAACGTGGGAGCACGAGTCGATCCTGTGCGGACTTGTCGCCTTGTCCTTCCAGGACGGCGGGAGACGCGCCTTGAGCGCTACCCGAAATGACCTCCTGCCCAACTTTTCGTCCGCATTGAGTTGTTGGTCGCATCAGAAGCAATTAGTGAGCTCGGAGCAAGGCGTTGGACCGGCAGCTCCTCGCGGATAATTTGTCCCTCCATAGAGGCAGTCCACACCCCGTGCTGCCGGGGGAGAAAATCATCCGAATCCCGCCGGAACGCTGAGGATTCGAAAAGACACCGGAAGTCGTCGCGAGTTCCTTGCTCGGGAATCCTTGCCTCCCGTCTCCGCGAAGTCAAACTTAACGGGAGCACAGGGCGACGGGGAGCTCGTACCGGTGGATTCCGTCATCGTTAGCAGGACGGAATTATCCGATCCCGGGACCGGGCAACAAACGACCAGAGGACTATCTCTCCTGTCCGTTCATCTTCCCACGGGAGTTTCCCTCATATGGGCAGTGTCGTCAGAAAGACCAGGGAAAAACTGATTTTCTCACTGCGGCTGTTGCCGCTCGACGTATCCTTCTTTGGAAAGCTACAGGAGCCGCTGTATTAGGTCGCGGTGCTAATGCACTCACTCTCCCGCCTAACCTGCGCGCGGTGTTCTGCTACACGGACCGCGTTTCGGCCAGCCAACGAGTGTTCCGGGTGTTGTTTGTTGAAGCACTGCCGAAAGGTCTGCTCGCACTGTTTTGCACTGAAACTGATTCCGCCTGACATGTCTCAAGTCACGCACTGTCATGGGCGAGCTTGCATTATCCCGCGCTTTCGGGTATCCTGAACGGAGTCCCGCCACACCCGGCTTGCGTCACAGGTAGTCGACGGCTTGATCGGAGTTATCCGGCATTCTGACGGAGATTAGAGAGGCCTCTCACCACATGATGGCTTCGCCTAATCTCGGGGTTCTGTTATGACACGAGACTCTCCCAGAGATGAGGAGGTGACAATTCGATCATGCACAGAAACAGACGTGGACGTCTCTCTCTCCGGAAATCCACGTATAACGGGAGAGAGGGGCCAGAGGTCGAAAGTGGGAATCGCGTCCGATCCCGCTCTGCATCACAGCTTTCGATGAACGTCACGGGGACCTTCGGGATACGCCGGTGGGATTCATCGATTCCCCTCTCCCTGAGCTCTGTGAATTGAATCGACTCGAACGGCTTGGTCAGTCAGAATGCCCTCGGATTCTACCCCGGGAGGTGGCGGCATAACTCCCAGTCTGACGGTTTGCTCTTTGTTTATTCCATCGGGGTAACGTTAAGGAGAGGATTCCATCCGGGGGCACTTGTATCACTGACTCAGCCAACCTGGACGGCCTTATGAATGAGAAAAGAGAGTTGGATCTACGCAGGCTGAACGAGCAGAAAAGGGAGGCAACGGGGAAGGAGATGAGAGCGGAGCTCACAAAACGACACGGTGGGGAGCATGGAGTTTCTGCTGCTCGAGACAGGCTGATGGTCTCGTGTGACTGGGATAAAATGTTGCAAGCCAACGAAGAATGAAGGACAGCCCCGAGCTACGCAAGAAGACCAGCCCTGAGATTGAGTATTCCTCTTGTAAGAAGTCGCGAGAGTTCCTAATCACTCTGTCTCTGGGCTTTGTCTCGAGCTCAAACAGTTTTCTCAAGCCCGGCTCTTCCTCTAAATCGTAGGCTCTTGGCTACACGTCGGTTCTGCTTTGAAATTCGAGCCTCGCTTTCAGCGCAGACGGACGATTCGCCTCAATGCGGGCGGAAAGAGACCCAGGTCAAACGGAGGCTTTTTCAGGCTCCGCGTTCCCGCTGAATCAGGACCGTCATTATATCTGCCCATTACTAGCATTTCTCCCCCTATTTCTCCCGATCTCTCCTCGTCCGGGTTCCATTGCAACTCTATCCACGTAAACGTGATTTCTAGTGAGCAATGACTCACCGAGTCTCTCGGGGAACGCTTCGCATCACTGAATGCGGGGCGTGCGTGATAAGTTAGATCGACTTCTCCAGGAGACATCCGTTCGTCGTTCTAGATTACTCACCGGAGATTGCCGTAACGATGATCGCGGTGAGCACCGTGCCGACCAAAAAACGGATCCACGAGACATCATCCGACAGCATGGCATCGTTCGTTTCTTTATCTGGAAAACGAATCTATTTTAGTCACGGTCGAAGTCATCATGCGTTGCATGCGCAACGTCGACCTGCCAGTCAGCTGGGCAGCAGGCTAGCCAGGAGATCCGACGCTAGGCCGGTCCACCTGTCAGTTCGTCTCCCGTCTTCTCTGACGGTCCGTCTTTCGGGCTGTTGGTCGGCTGGACGGTGGACATTCGGTCGATCTGTCCTTCCTACCAATGCATCGGCCGAACGGCACGCCCAAGGAAAGAACCCGAAATCGACAAGCGCCTTCACTACCGAGTACCGTCTCCGCGGCGGAGCTACGGGACCACACCTCGACCTTCGTGCGGTTTTTCAAGGACGATTAAGGAGGGGGGAAGATGAAAAAGGACCGCTCCGGAACGATAACATGTTTCGCCAGAAGAGAATCTTCCAAGATCCACTCGGCTCTCCCGGCAGCCTTCGTCTTCATTGCGGGGTCTGCCCTTTTACGGAATGCGTCATGACGTCAGTGGCTTCTTGCGTGCCGACCCTCACTTTGATAAAGGCCTATCATATTGCTTGCCTCGGCAAGCCCGTCATTACGTTGTTGGGACAGCAACATTGAATGAGCAAACATCATCGAGTTTGTGTTTACGCTCTCTTCGGACATCGCTTTCAGCGACTGCGTGATTGGTTTTTTCAGGAGCGAGCGAGTTCTATCTCTTGCTTCATTGTAGGTGCTCCCGGAATTTGTCAATGACCGGCATTGATGGGATCCGTAGCGATTGCGAGATTGCGAAAACGCGAACGTCGACGGTGGGTAATGCCCTTAGTTCAACTCGATATCGAAAACGTTTGCTTCACGTACTACTCGGCACTATATCGCAGGATGGAGCCGCATATTCACCTGTGGGGATCGCGTCTACGCACGTATCGTCGAGCGAACGAAGCCACAGCGTGACATCGCTGAGCCTCGGAGAAGCTGCAAACGAGCCCAAAAGAAGACTTGTGCTGAGCCAAGCCCTCTCGATCCCTCTGTTCGCTTCTCAGGAGAAGTCATTTCACGGGACTCTCCCAGCCCAGAAAGATGCGAGGGCGCTTCGTCGCGGCCATTGCGAGACAAACCGAGTTAAAGCGTCGGAGTCGAGCCGGCCCTGCACGTCTGATCCGGCTGCTGATAGCGCGCAAAAGTTCTTATCGGAAACAAGAGAGGCCCACCTTCGCTTGAAATCATCTCACTTCATTGATGATAAGTCCATGAGCTCCCAATCAGGGCACGCGAGGGACAGTTTCCAATCAACGCTCCTGAAATCTCCAAGAGCTCCTGTTTGTCCGCACCTACCCGGACGACGGAGATGCCAGGCGAGCATCCCGCTGCGTCATGGAAAACAACAAAAAAAAGCCATCAAGCTAGAAAAAAAAAGATGCATGCTTTTCAATGGCAGCATTGGAATAGTGCTCTTACGGCTTATTTCATAATAGAAAGTCGGAGCGGGAGGCAGCGTTCCCACCGCTGGCTCTGCTTCCATGAATCAGATTCTGCGTCGGAGTTTTCGCGTTCGCAGCAGTAATAAACAACGGACTTATCAGCGAAGATTTATCCCTATGAGGGATTGCAGCAACATGGCTCTCGCTCGGGTATTTCTCTCGAATTAATATTCATTTAGGGTGCGCATCGCTCACGAGCTGAATGATTGATAATCCCGAAGCATCATTGACGAGTCTAATGATCGTCGTGCTTTTCTCGAAGTGCATTCATGGATCGTACGAAATCGTTCCGAGCACACCGCGACGTTTCCAATCTAATAAAGGGATGCAGGCATGCCACGGAAGAACGTACCGCGTTTGAGATCGCACACATCGCGTCCCGGGAATCTTCTACTTGGAGCAGAGAACAATGTCTAAATATGGACAGGTTCCAGACGACGTTTTGGGAGAATCGTCTATAATATACCGAGTCGGACATCGCCCCCGAACCCAACGCGGGGTCGCGGCTCGCTCCGCATGCGTTCGGTCGGGATGCGACGCTAGCTTCTTTAGCCTTTGATTTCGAATAGACTTGCGTTTGTATCGACGTCTCCCCAGACCCAGACATCATAGTGAGAGATTTTTTGTCAATTGTTGGTAGAAAGACTCGAAGACGGTGGGACGCACGAACTGTCTAGACGGCTGACCGGCTTGGAAGAAGAGAGAAATTGAAACAGGTTCAAGTCTAGTGCCAAGTCAATGGAGTGCCACTGAGATTCGCGACGGGTTCGGCCTTGTCACGGTAGCGAAATCTTCCCTTCGAGCGGAGATCGGCGCCAAAGGGCTCTTTGGGCGAGAAGCGCTAGCGAGTCAATCTGGATGAAACGTCCTTATTAGGAAGAGACTCCGGCTCCGGCTGATGGTTGTGACCTTCGTGCCAAGTCGTCGCTTTCAAAACTTTTGACGTCATCGAGACGATGGAGACCGTCGTCGTCTTCCATCCTCGCAATCGGCTGAAGCTACCGCCACCGATAGAAGGAGTCCATAGCGATTTCCATAAGGACACTTTGTAAAATCGCTGACCAAATGAGGTCCGTTTCTGATCGGGAAAAATCGAAGAATATTTCACTGTTGGAACTTTGAACACAAACGACCCACGCTCAACTTCCGCAAGCATCCCGCCACGGAGGTAAAGGCGGCTTTGTACGTAACGCGATGCTCGTTACGGTTTTCCCCCGCGGAGGACGATTGCTGTAGACGGAATCTGCCGATGAACCAGAATATTTCCAAGAGAGGCTCAATTAAAATGAACCACTTTTAGCTGCGAGACTCTACATGTGGCGGTGACCAACATCCTCCGAATTGCGACTCCAGCGAATCCGCCCCCGCTCGTACTTAAAGCGGGGGAAGACTCACAATCGCGAAGGATTTGCTCGAGCAAGCCACAGGATGAATCAACGATGACTTCGCTCGAATGTCGTCGGCGATTGTATGTATGAGGAGCAGCCCAGTGCGGGACCAAGATATTGGCTACGAGCTTGGCGCTTTTGTACATAGTGTGCGTATCGAGCGGTCTATGAGCTCAGGCCTGCGTTTGTTGCTACTGCCGTTGCATCCGCGACGGCTTCCTCGGCCATTGCCTCCGCTGGGCTCTGTCGAACACAAAAGATGTATTGTGATCAAGTAGAGCGAGAGCCACGGCTCTCGACGGACAGGCGTTCGGTGCGCCGTTGCGGGATCGAGCCAGAGTCTTCAAGCAACAACAAGTTACAGACATCTGAACCTTTCGCTCCCGACTATTCTTTCGTAGGATAACCTCACAGTCTCCGGCCGAATCAGCCCGGCTACGAAGGTCAGCGACTAAACGTTTTGAGCTTTTTCGCTCCCTGGCGACACTGAGGATTGGGCCGGTCAGGAATTCAGGCCGTGTCGAAGTGGTCGACTCGGACGAGCCTCCCATCGATTCGACCGACAGGCTCCATCGGTCGGGGAAACCACCGCGGAACCAGCAATCAGGAGCCGCTAGAAACATTGCATCTGGTGACGGCGATTGCGACAGCTGGCACTGAGGACCGGTTACGATATCTCCTCTGATCGGTCACGATCGAGATGACTCGATCAGATTGCGACTGGCGCTTTCCGTGAAAAGGAAGCTTCCGACAACGCAAGCCCAACCATCCGACCTCCACGTGAGTGATTCTCTACCCGGTATCGAGTATTCGCGCCCGTCCCTTGAAAATCGGCCCGTCGCTTTGGCCATCTCGAATGGTCCCTTTTACCTCGCCACGGGGCGTTTTTCCTTTGGACCCGCCCTGTTGTATCCAATGAAGAGTTCCTTTTTCTAAAACATCCGTCAGCCGTTTGTCCGTGTGGAACTAATGCCGAATCGACGCGAAACACTTGTACCGCAGTGCAACATCCTGGCAACGACTTTTGGTAATAAATCCGGTATCTCGATATTGTCGAAGCTCCGAGATCGGGGCGGACACATCAGAGAATGAGTTGTTCGCGTCGAAACGTCATCGGAATCCACTGCGCATTCTTATCAATTCGCGCGTCCTGACATCCCTTGATAGATACGACCTCGGCTCCCGAGCCCCTCGATACAGCCACGTTTCCATGGAAAAACGTCCGCTGAGCTCGGAACGCAGCTCCCGAATTTGTGTCGGCAGGAAGGATCCATTGTAAGGGCGCTTCTGACTGTAACCAGAGGGTCGATTTTTCGAGCCATTCGAACCGATCGGACCGGGGTCGACAGCGGTGGGAGCGGACGGCCACAGGATTACCAACATTCTGTAGCAACTGTCAGGGAGCGAGGCTGATCCCGCGCGCGCAAATAAAACCCTGACGGCCGACTCTCGGAGGAACTTCGAAACACCCGGAGTCTCAGTTAATTTGATTAGAATTCTTTCGTTCTTGGCTCGACAGCGAGTGCCTGAAGTTCGCTACCGAGGATCGCTGGCTAGGAGGTAGGCTGGCATTAAGAGAGCCTCGAAAGACGAATCTCCAACCTGTCTCTCGGAGAAACCGATTGCTATGCGGTCTTGCATCAATCGTAAACGTTTTAGCGATCGAATGGTTCCCTCGTGCGACCTAATCACCGACAAGCTGCGACGGCATTGTTGTCGTTTCCGGCCGGAATATTCGGACACTGCAACGAAAGAACCTCCGGGAGGTGTTTGTGATTGAAATGTAGTTTCGGCGACTGGCCAATATATCCAAGACGCTGTGTACACAAGACGACGCCGTCTCATTGAAACTAGACGTGCGTGTCAAGCTTCGCAGTCGACCTCGTAAGGAACTCGAGCGGTTCGCTGATTGCAGTTTCCAAATCGAAGCAGTCCTTATCGCTCACGAACGAGACTTGTGTTCCCCGAGAGAAAGGATGTCTCTGCCCTATCATGAGAGGAAAATGCGTAGAACCATCCCCGGTGGGATCACCTCTTCGGCAGCTTTCTTCCATCCAGAGCACAGTTTTATTCTTAGCTATTCATGGTTCAGACAGTAACTCGTGGCTCCACGGGACCTTCTCGAAGCCCTTCTTTGAAGCGGGCTTCTCCGAGCTCTGGAACTCTTTCCGATTCTTAGTGATGATTTGCTCACATCTGTCCATTGAAATCGAAATGTTGGCACGGGAGCCTTCGTGGGGGTCTCGGCCATGGGAAATTCCTGCGGTAGTGGAGGAATGATTCAGGTCGATTATTCTCCATTTGATGGGTTTCGAAGAACTCGGGAATCTATTCGCGGGTGTTCGTTCTTGAGT